GTGAAGCTCGATCAGGCAGATGCCCACGAGACAACAAAAATCAACCACCATCCGGGGAAGGCTACCCTGAAAGCCGTACAAGATGTAGTTGTCATGGATCGCGATGCAATATCACGGTGGGCAGTCCGCCCAGTCCCCCCTTGCCCGGAAAGATGGGGGTAAGACCGGAAGAAGGAGGGCCGTTTGCCCTCAGGACCCTCTTCAGGGAGTCCGGTGTGCACACGGATGGAGGCTGGTCAAAAGGGATGTCAGCCGAGGGCGTTCGAGCGATACTCTCAACCTTGCCGCCAGACCACGAGAAGTGCGCACGCCACTCACTGGACGATGCACTTGAAGTCGATATCTCAACTGAACGAGAAGAGGGATGAAAGACAGCAAAGAAAAATCATAGTAGAAGCAGTTTGCGGATTGCTTTGGAGATGGAACAACCACAAATGTGGATTCAACATAATTTATAGAGGAAGAAGAAATCAAAGCGTCACGTGAGAAGAATTGCGTCGGTCGGAGAAAGCCAAAATTCGATGGCAGTTTTATAATAATTAGTCTCTTCAGCCGCGCGACCGAGATGATGCGCATTTAATTCAGAGAACGAAAGGTAGCCCATCGTAGCAGAAAAAACAACTGGCGGTTCTTGAGGAATGGTGCACGCTGCACAACATGACACGAGCCACTAGAAGCCCGCCACGTGGATCACACTCACTAATGTCAAAGGCCTGCTTGAGAAGGCCCAAAAGAAAGATCATCGGCCCCACTGAAACCAAAGGAAAATCAACTCACGAACAGTCACGACGGTATGAAATTCGCGCACCTACAGAAAAACCGCCATCCGCTCCCGGGTGAGACCGGCTCCAGGGACGGATTGCACGAAGGTGGGTCAAACGTAACCGCCCGGGCACCTTAAGCCCCGCAGTGGGTTTTACGAAACATGGCCATCTCTGGGTTGATCTCAACCCGCGAGGCTACGTTCTTGCTTGTGGGATTGTTTGATTTATTTCTTGTATGATTGTTTGATTTCTCCCTTGCAGGATTGTTTGATTTCTTGCTTGCATGATTGTTTGCTATCTTGCTTGCACAGCAGTTTGATTTCTTGCTTGCATGACTGTTTGATTTCTTGCTTGCATGACTGTTTTATTTCTTACTTGCATGATTATGTGGTCTCTTGTCTATATGATTGGGCGATCACCCTGTACAAGCAGCAATATAAAGTCTTGTTCGATTGCTTGACGCCAGCGGCTGCGGCTGCGGCAGTGCGTTTAGTCGCAGCGTTTAGCCACATGAATGTCAATCGTTTGATTGCCGCGCGTCTGGTTGCAGCGTCTGCCACATGTTTGTTCGTTTGGTCATCGCGCGTCTGCTGCAGATTTGTTCGTTTGGTCGCCGTGTGGTTGATCGCAGAATCTGATCGCTGGTCCAAAAGAGAAAACAAGTGCCATGATTAAAAAGTAGCAGCGTTCAATTTTTTTGTTTCCAATCACGGATCTATAAACTAAAACACAAACGAGAAAGAGAGTTTCAGGAAAGTAAAACCAAAACACAAGAGAGAAAGAGAGTTTCAGGAAACACAAGGAAAAAAAATTCAAATGGGTGAAGAACAACACACACAAAGAAAACCCATTTGAATATAGGCGCATAGTCACACACAAACCCAGTTGCAAGCGCAGAATCTGATGAAATACGTTTAAGTGAAGAACAACACAGATAAAGCAAACCTTATGCAATGAGGAATGGGAGAACGGTGAGCATGAAGGTTTCCTAAGTGAAAGTAGCTGTCCTCCTTGAACTTCTCTGTCAGTCCATGAAACATTTCCATCATCTCACACAAAACTACTGACTTTTAAAAGCAGAGTTATTGAAACACAGAGAAATCAGTACTCATTTTAGTCACAAGCAACAGTTTAACGTGAGCTAATCATATAGCTCCAATAAGCAAAAAGGTTCAAAAAAGAACTAACCATTTAAATATTTCAGAAACATCACAACAAAAACTCATTTCTTTCGAGCTAACACATCAAACACTTGGCAGTTTCGCTTCTTAAAAACAAGTTTTCAGCAAGAGAGAAACTTGTTTTACGTCTAATATCAACTAACAACAGAAAACCCATCAGCTAACAACAGAAAAACCAGAATAATCTATGAAGCTTATGAGAGAGTTCATGTGTTAAAAACCTAGAGAAATCGAGAACAACAAAACGAAATCTGGTTGATAAATTGAAGTCAAAACAGAAAACTCACATCACTCAAAAGAAATCAGATTGATGAATCAAAGGCAAAACACAAAACCTAAAATCAAAAGTAAGCAAATTGAAATGAGACAATTGAAACATAGAGAAATTGAGCTTCGAAGCAAAGAGAGTAATTGAATCATAAATAAAACGAACAGTCCCAAACTTGGGAAAAAGTTTGGCGAACAGAAGAAGAAGAAGAAAATCAGCAAAGTGAAAGAGAAGAGAAGAGAAGAGAAGAAGATCGGCGAACACGAATAAAATCGATATTTAGTTTCAATGTAAATAACATTTTTTGTAATTTACAAAATCTAATAAGGATATTTTTGTCTTTTGCAGATTCACTCGCAGCTTTCTCAACCGTAACACTGAATTTCATTTGCGACCAAAAAAATTGAACGCGGAATGCAGCGTTTGGTCGCAGTGTCTGGCCGCAGCAGATGCGTCACATAAACGAATAGCGTTTAATCGCATGCTGCAGTCGCAGCCGCTGGCGTCAAGCAAACGAACAGGGCCTAATTCCCATCCCTTATTGCGTTTACACTCTTCCTCGTTCGTACGTTTCCATTATTCATCCCTCGATCCACGTACACTCCTTTGAAACCTCTTTCTCGGCATGCTCCCTCGCGGACTTGTTTTTTCTATAGGGCATCATTCCTCTGGGAATTCAGGACTCCAGTCCGGCAGGCCCCTGTGGCTCATCTCGTACCAGCTCCCCCCGGGGACTATGCTCATCCTGAGTATACTCCCTCACGGACTTGCTCACCCTCCGAGGCACCCTCCCTTCAGGATCCTAAGGCTTCGGCCTCTCAGACCTCCGGGTCCTCCCCGCCAGTCCCCTCTAGCGGACTGTGCGACAAAACAGTATGCTTCTTCCAAGGACATGCTTGCCACTCAGGCACTACAGAAATTCAGATCGCCGACTCACAGACTTTCTCTTTCTGATAATTTTCTGAGCTCTTCCCCTTCGCGGTATGTCAAAAGCACGTTCTCAAAACCTAGAAACTTCCGCGTAAGCACAACGCGAAGACTGTTCAGATAATAAGAGAGTCAAGATAATATTTGGATCCATTATGCTTAACAATTTTATGAATTTAATTGACAAAATTCTTGTATAAAATAAAAAGAGTTTGAAGATCTCAACCCATATATTTATATATAGATATTGGCCAAAATTATGTTTATTATCTTCTCTATTTATATTAATAATATCAATACTCTTAACTGAAAAATCTAATTTTAATTACTTGCAACAATATGTTTTCTAAGTTGGCAAATGTTTTCTAAGTTTATAAGTTTAATTAATTATTTATTCTTATTATGCTCAATTGTATTTATACCAGCATTGATTTTTTGTTCTTAAAAAATCTTCCTTCATACATACTAAATTTTTAACAATTTTAAATATGTAATTAATATATATATATTTAAACTTAATAATGATTATGGCTATTTGAACTATTTCTTTTTGAATTTTAAAACACAATTAACAACAATAAATATAGTTATGAATACACAAAGTGATTTTTTAAGTATTTTCATTAAAATTGATAATCACAACAAAAATTATTTTCTCGTACATTAAGTATATTAATGCTGTCAAAAGCTAGGTTGCATGGTATCTCCGTCTGAGGTGCGTTCTACATTCGGACACGTTTCGAAAACCAAAACTCTCAAAAACTCAATGGAAATATGAAAAACCATGTTTCCTAAAATTTAACAGGAAACCAATAAATTAAAAATGAAAATTAAGTTTATATATCGTGATCGATTTCTTCCTGTCACAAACTGATATGGGTTTTGTATTGTAACAAGAAGAAATCGATCAGGGTATATGAACTTAAGAGTCTGGGTATATGAACTTAAGAGTCTGGGTATATGAACAGTATTTGAGGAAGTCCAGTCCCAGAAAAAGAAATACAATAGATATCGACATACAGCCCCGACCTAACGTATTTTAGGTCCCTTAGGCAAAAACAAAATTGGACCTTAAAAATATTATTGTTTAATTTTTTTGGCATTTTCTATTTATTTTTTTATAATTTTCGAATTAATAATAAAATAACTAAGATAGTTCTAAATTTTTAAACAAAATAGACCCTTTAATAAGAAGGAAAACAAAATATTAGGCCTTCGGATGAGAATAATAACAAAAAATCAGGTCTTTGATGATTTAACGAGAAAAATATACTTAATAAACTTTTATATATCTAATGAAAGTTTAATAGCATATTAGGTAAATAATACAATAAGTAACATTTATTTTCTTAATTGGGATTGTTTCTTAAAATAGTAAATTTTCAAAACAAAATTTACTCAGACAATTGTGCCCTCCTTACAACACGTGTTTAGAAATTGTAGATCTGATTAGGAAAATTCTACTAAAGAGTGATAGATATTTTCTTATTTAATTATTCACTGTTTACTGTGTACTATCCTCTATATATTAATTAAGAAGCATTTTTAAAAAATAACCTTAATTTTATAAATTATTTACAATGATGCCATTTTACTAATATGTATCACCAGAATCATTCTTAGCAAATATATAGAAAATGACTTATGTTACTAGACTAACTATATGTTCTGCCACTCACATTAATTTGGTTATATAATAATTTATATCAATTATTTATACATAAATCAGCATTTAGAAACAAAAGTCAATCATCAATCATAGAAATGTGTTCCTATCATATGCTCCAAATTGCTAATCTTGTCTTCTAACACTAGCAAACGCTACAAAACCCCTGCGGTTTGCTTCACTAGCTACGTTCAACACTACAAGCATACTATCGTTCACAACTCTCTAACATCTTTTCTGATATATTATTCTTCTGCGCCAGAATTGTATTGCGTGTAACAGCTGTCTCGATAACTACATCTTTCTCTCTACGCCTTCTCTTTGCTCTTGCATTTCCAGATTGGGTTTGTGTCTCAACATCTTGGGTTTGCGTCTCTGGCCCTTCTGTATCCACATAATCAAATTCATCCTCATCTCATCCATCTACTCGAGAATCTAAACTACCTTCTCCTTGCTGGGCGCTCCATCCTTCTGCTCCAGTCACAGTAATAGCACCAGATTCCTCTTTATACACATCCATATTAGAAATCAACTTGTTTCTATACATATCAATGGTTGACCGTAAGAAATCATATCAACATTAAGAAAAACTAAAGCTGAATTCCTCAACTCAACTCAAATCACATTCAACATTAAGCGATTGCAAGAACCACAAGCAACAAAACTTAAATCACATTTAAAGAAGTCTATACATATCAACATTAAGCAATTGCAATAACCACAAGCATTAAAGTAATAAAACTCAAATCACATTCAACAATATGATCCTAATATTAAAAAGAAGCGAACAAGGCTTCAGCTACGGAGTAAAGAAAAGGAGAGATTAGTTTTTAAGCATCAAAGCAACAAAACTCAAGTAACACCTAAGATCCTATAAACCGCAACAAGTCAAAGCAACAAAACTCAAGCATCAAAGCAACAAAACTCAAGTAACACCTAAGATCCTATAAACCGCAACACAACAAAGCAACAAAACTCAAGCACTAAGGCAACAAAACTCAAGCATCAAAGCAACAAAACTCAATTAACACCTAAGAAAAAAATAAGATCCTATAAACCGCAACATATCAAAGCAACAAAACTCATCAAACCCAACAAAACGATTGAAAAGAATAAGATCCTATAAACCGCAACACATCAAAGAGCTCAAACCCTAAACGAGATGAAAGTAAACTTTAATACCTTTATGCGCTCTTCCCACCAATGATCAGACATGTCCAATCTTCCCAAAGCATCATATCCAAGTCAAGTTCTATTATGAGTTAACTTCTAGCATTTGACAAATGCTTTTTTGCAAAATCATACTTATTCTTGAATTTTTCCCATACTAGTCCTCTCCCGAATCAATCTTCAAACTTCTTCAAAACAAAGTCTTTGCCAGTTTGATTCATCCCAAGTTTTGTTTTGTTGCCTGTCTTTTTCTCACCCGAATAGAGATGAAAAAAGTACCGACATTCTTCATCGGTTCAATTCTAGAGAACAATTAATACATGTCATCCTAACCATACTACTTAATGTCTACCTAACCATATCCAAAGAACAATTCTAAATAACTCAAAAATACTTACATCGATAGCCATGACTCTTGTATATCTATGAGCCTTGTGGAGCAATCTCTCTCGACACATCCAATAGCTGAAAGTATGAAACAAAGAAACGTAGATTAGCAAACTTAGCAAACTGAACAACTCAATAATGCTAAAAGAGATGAAATTGCAAAAATACTAAAAGAGATGTTCAAAGTAAACTGAGTAAACTGTACAACTCAATAATCAAAGTCAGTTGTTCGGTACTTATCAAATTGTTATCCCATTATCAGAACAAAACAAGCAGAGACACACACACACATACACACAAATATGCATTAAGATATAGCTTACGCTTCCATGAGACAAAACAGAGAAGTTGCAAAACACAAAACCCAGAGAAATCGAGAGCAATAAAATGAAATCAGATTGATGAATCGAAGTCAAAACACAAAACCCACATCACTGAAACGAAATCAGATTTATGAATCAAAGATAAAACACAAAACCCAAAATCAAAGGTAAGCAAATCGAAACAAAGAGAAGAAGAAGAGGAACTGAAGCAAATAGAGTAATTGAAACATAGGGAAAACAAACAGGCTCAAACCTGAGAAGAAGATCAGCGAAGAGAAGAAGAAGAAGATCAGCGAAGAGAAGAGAAGAGAAAAGAAGAAGATTGGTGAAGATCGGCGAAGAGAAGAAGAACAGGCTCGTTTGGGTTTTGTAGGGTAAATGGCATTTTTTGTAATTAACAAAATTTAATAACTATATTTTGGTCATTTACATGTTTAATCGCAGCTTTTTTAAACGTAACGCCGAGAGGCAGCGTCTGATCGTTGCGGTTGGCCGCATGAGGTGCATCACGTAAACGAACACAGTTTGATCATATGCCGCAGCCGCAGCCTCTTGCGGCAGGCACACGAACATGGCCGATCTTCCTCATATGTATCATACATTGGATCATCGGAAACTGTTTTTTTATCTGCTGTTATTTCAACCTCGACCAGGTCTTTGTTGTTGGCCAACACAGCAGAGTTTGGTCCACCAATCGACTCTGCAAAGAAGTCCTTGTCATCTTCCATCTCCCAATCCTCATCATCCGTCTCGTAATCCTCATCGATTGTATCTTTAGGAGTGTTTCTGTTAACAAGCGCAACCACGTTTCTGTTATTATTAGCAAGTGTAGCAACCTAATAAATATAGTTTTAGTCATATAAACACATTTTGACCATCCGAAATATTTATTTTAATATTAAATCCCAATAATAAATTATTATATTTATATTACATTTATTAAATCACCATTCTCTTGTTCTATTTTGTCCTCCATTGTTTATTTTGCATCATTTTGTTTTTTGTTTTTTTTTTGTAGGAGCGGTATTTGAACTGCTTGCTTCTCCTTGATCTGCTTGTTTTGGATTTGTCTGAACTGTCTGAAAATGATCTGTACATCTATTGTCATAAGATGAAATCGTAAGTACGAAATTTTAGTATTTATAAGATTATCACAATAACATGAATTGTATCAAACCTTAGTTTATGAAATGATGATATTAATTAACATATAATACAAATTTTAAAATATTATTTTTTAATTATAATATATAAAAAATCCCTTTAAAATATCATTATTTAGAAAAAAACATTAATTTAACATGTTTTTTAAGAAAATAAATAACTAAAAAAAACTTCAAAAAATAAATAAAGACTTACACTACTGATAAAATGAATTTAGTATTGTCCCAATATAATCCGATGAGATCACCAGTTTTGAGACCTTTTGCCTTTTTTTATTTTTGACCATCCTTTTCTGATATGATACTTACTACTAGTATAGCTATAACTAAGGGTAACATCATATGAAATATCATTATCCTTAATTTCCACTTGAATACCTTCTTCAGACAGTGTTGTTTTCATATTTTTTAATATGTTTTCTGTATTCTCCTTTGTTAAAAGCAACACACCCTGATAAGAAAGATCGGAATCTGTTAACCTTTTCATTATCATCATATTTGGATCCATTATAAAAAAAAACTTTTAACAATTTTAAGAATTTAATTGAGAAATTCTTGTATGAAATAAAATATTTGAAGAGTTTGATGATCTCAACCCATATATATATAGATATTGGCCAAACTCATGTTTATTATCTTCTCTATTTATATTAATAATATCATTGCTCTTAAGTAAACAATTCTAATTTTAGTTACTTGCAAGAATATGTTTTCTAAGTTGGCATATGTTATTTTTCTAAATTTACAAATTTTTAAGTTTAATTAAGTATTTATTCTTATTATGCTCAATTGTATTTATATCAGCATTGATTTTTTTAGTTCTTAAAAAATCTTCCTTCTTACATACTAAATTTTTAACAATTTTAAATATGTAATTAATACATATATATTTAAACTTAATAATGACTATGGTTATTTTAACCATTTCTTTATGAAATTAACAACAATAAATCTAGTTATTAATACACAATGTGATGATTTGTTATTAAAATTAAAAATCACAACAAAAATTATTTTCACATACAGTCAGTATATCACTGATGTCAAAAGCTAGGTTGCATGGTATATCCGTCTGCGGTGCGTTTTACATTCGGAAACATTTCAAAAACTGAAACCCCAAAAACTGAAACCCTCGAATATTCGATGGAAATATGAAAAACCATGTTTCCTAAAAAAATTCAGTTTGGAAACACGATTAAAATATATTTCCATTTTGGAAACACAATGAGAACTTACTATTATTGTTTTGTTTGTATTAATAATATTAATGCTCTTAACTAAAAAAAGTTATAATTTTAGTTACTCGCAAGAATATGATTTCTAAGTTGACATTTGTTATTTTTCTAAATTTACAAATTTATAAGTTTAATTAATTATTTATTCTTAGGCTGTAAAAAATGAGAAAAGAAATTGAAAAATCGAAAAAATCAGAAAATAGATCAAGGAAAGAGAAAATAGGAGAGCTGTATTGAGATTGCTTTGTTCAGTGTTTAGGAAGGAAAAATCATCTATAAGTGACTGAGTTGATAAATCATTGATGAGATGACACATTAAGATAAATATAAGGAGTTGGCAGTGAAGATTTCAGATTTCATGAAAGGGCTTGAACTGGATTTGGGAGATTGCTAAGTTTGTGATGATTATACTGAAATTTGATCTTGTGTTGACTCTGTGGTATGTGGATTTGAAAGTGCTGATCAATGTGGCCTTCCTAATGTTTAGCTGACTGTTTCTGTTTATAAACCTTGACCCTGTTCTTTGTCTGATGTTTGCTTAAGGGCAAGCAAGAGCTAAGTTTGGGGGAGTTGATATACATGGTTTTTATGATTTTTAACCATGGTTTAAGTCCTTTTTATTGAGTCTATTTGATCTTTTTAGAGTCCAAGTAGAGTATTTGCAGGTTATAGCATGACTGGAGCACAATTGGAGGTTTTGGAGCTTTTTGGAGCATTGCAAGAATTATCCCTGAAGTATACAAGTCAGAAGCCGTTATACTGCTTTGGGTGACGATCGTCACTGTAACACCCCCGGTTCCGAATAGGACCAGTCCCGACCGTAGACGCTACAAAATGCCGAGGTTCACTCGATAGGTCAGCCTGTCTTAGATCACATCTAAGCTTAAGGCTGTCCCGGCAAGTTAGCTCGACCCTCCCGACTGAAGCCTAAGGCTTGCCAACCCGTACTCCAGCCGAGAGTTGTGTAGACTCGGACTAAGACATTTTACCAGCGGAAGACACAAGGGTTTTATACATAGAAAATCCGCTTTTATTTCAAGAAACATACATATTACAAAGCGTTTATTTATATTACATAGCGGATCCGTCCGAGATTTCAAATATTATACAAAAACCCTTGTACCAACATACTTACTATATTTTACAAAAGGCACCCAAATCTACTCCGGTGGTCCTAACGTCCACAACACCCTCTAACCCCAACGGCTTACTAAGGTTTTCTGCAAGAGAGAAAGGGGGGATGAGTAATCTAAGATTACTCAGTGAGTCCAGGACCCACTTAAAGAAAGAAAACCCCGAGAACCCCAAGAACCCCCAAGCAACAAGCAATAGCCGAAGCAACATAAAATAAATAGCCGAAGTATGCAATCCTAGATCTATATGCAAGCGCTATACTAAAGGCTAAGGTGCCACCACTTCCACACCAAACACACTCGCGCGGACACAAAGATCTCTAAGTGGGTCGGCCAGTTCCCCTCCGCGAACACCCTGCACTTGACTATCACAAAACAAGCCAAGCTGGAATATCACTACTAAGAACACCCTGCACTTGACTATCACAAAGACAAGCCAAGCCGGAACATCGTTTACCCCGGGAGATCCTCGGTCGGTTCACATCTCGGTGGGGTTTCCATCCGAGAGCTGCCAAGTGAGTTCATATCCCAGGCGGGACAACCACGCCTCTTTGCTGGTTTCCCACTATCCCGTCGGATAGTACTCGGCCAGGCTAACAAGACCCGTTACTCCTTCGAGTCTTCCCATCTAGCAGTCCATTCGCTAAACATGGGGAGCAAGGAACTCCGACCACACCGTCAATAAGCCATGAAGGATACGCCACCAACATGACTCTGCAGTATAATGGATCGCAGACAATTATACTTCACACCGTGTTGTTCCACACTTGATCAAACGCCCACACACTTTCACTCAACCTCCGAGAAGTTAGCGCCCTAGAGTGACGGCTAAGCCAGAACTTCTCTAGTCCTAACTCTCGTTTACGGTTACAAGCCTCACATGCTTGAACCTCGCTCATGCACGTTCACTATAACGCCGCTTTCGTGATCTTCCAGCCACGCAACGTGTCTTATCATAAATCATACACTCGCTCATTCGGTGAAGGAACATGCAAGTGGATCTGAGATCCGGCAATCCTTACATCCTTCTCACCACTCGGTAAGGATGATAACATGTCCCACAGATATGCATGAGACCGTTACCTCACCCAACGGGTTTTGCAGCACTCATATCTAACAGATCCGAGGCTGATCCTGCACTAAAATGTTAGTATACACTCGGATCTACACGGATCCGAGCTTCCCTGCATTACACGGTAGTCACACACATACACACAAGCACACAACCTATTCTACCGAGGCTAGTGTTGTGCTACAATGCAGATCCGAGATCTACACTGCACCACGAACAGCAACGTTGATAGTCCACCACTAACGGGACTCACCTTGAACTAGACACGGAACCGGACTACACTACCAAGCGGCCTACCGAAGCTAAGCTCTATACTCTACACGCCTCACACATTCACTCTATGGTTTCAAAAAGGTTTAGGAGTGGGAATGAAGAATGAGGGGGAATGGGGCGGTATTTATAGCCCAAAAAGTTACCCATGGTAACAAATTAAGTTGTGTAGAATCTGGACTCTTCTTTACTCAGATGCAAGCCATGTTTTTACCCTATGCCTTAGCCTCCTTCTCATAGACTCTAGGCCTGCCAAACCATTCTTATCCATAAGCATAAGGTGGGAGCTTTCCATTGGCTCAAAACTGTACATTTCTCCCTTCTCCTGTGCTTTTTACTGCCAAACGACCCAATTGGAATGTTTAGCTGATGGTAAACACCTCTTTTGCCCTCCAGTGTTGCATAATAACGGACCTCTCTCTTTGTTGTCAAAGAATCACCCAACTGTACTGCGGTTTTGGCGGAAATGAACATAATAGACCATGAATTCGGACCCACATGTTCTCTCTTGTTTTCTTCGTGATCCTGGCAATATTCTTTGGTGGATGGACTCCTCTTAGGCTTATTTAATATTGCTTAGACTCTCGAGCTGTTTGGTTCTTGACCCCCATCCGACTCATTCCGCAGCTCTTGAACATCTATCGGATTGCGCAAATTTTGTAGGTCTCAAAAGAATTTTTATTGGTCTAATTCTTTTTGAATGGTCTTTCTTAGGGTCTTGGATACCTCCATAATTAATCCCACAATTTTTAAAATTGTACCGAGGGGTCATCGGGCTTGAAGACTCGGTCGGGTGGGATAGCGTTTGGACGGGGTATTACAGTCACCACTTATGGGTGACGCTTGTCACCCGTATCTGAGGAGGAATCAGGCATATTCTAAAAATTGGAGAAAATATTGCGGTTTTGACCCAGAAGTTTCAGTATTTTCAAAAAGACCCCAACTCGTGTTTTAGCCTGTATATATTAAGTTTTCAGCCATTCTTTTGGTTTTTAACTTTGACTTGAGAATTCAGAGAGTTTTAGAGAGAGATTTATTCAGAGCTTTTGGGGAGACAGATCCTGTACTCATTTAGAGAAGATTTCGAACCCCTTTATCTCTTATTCTATTCTTTTAATATGTTTTTATTCAGTTATGTTTTGTGTTTTCATGATCATGTCTGATTAATCTGTTAGTTAAGTTAGGATCATTCAAAGGTTGATGAAGTGTTTGTAGAA